CTCGATTATCCGGACTTTTTCTCTAGTCCCAATTTTGTCATGAATATTTATTAGTCACGATCAAGATCCGTAACAATATTCTTTTTAATACTATAGCATTGAAAAGTGCAGTCAAAAGCGAGGGGTTTTTTGCTTTTAAAAAGCAACGATTGCAGGCATCGTAACTAATGAGGCTGAATGCTCGAATGAGTTCTGATTGGCTCAGAGTAGAGTGGTTCAAGATGTACAGTAAACCATATTGTTTCCAAACGATTTGTAAAAGTGTTGTTTCACGATTAAATGTATGTTGCTTTATTTAGACAGGTTTGTTCTTCATTAATATTCATATTTTCAATTATCCGGACCCTCGATTATCCGGACTATTTTGTCTAGTCCCAACAAGTCCGGATAATCCAGGTTCGACTGTACTAGCTATCTTGTGAGTTCATATCCATTAAAAGTTGTCCAGTATAGGTAGAATCAAATAACTACACTTTTAAATGTCGTAATAATTTTATGAATCTCTTTTTTAATAGTTTGTTGTACTTTGTATTTAGATTTTGCAGTTCTGCCGCAAGGCAAAACAAAGTGGTGTGAACTTGAAGCTGATGCCTGTAGGGATGTCCAACAGACTGGAGAACACGTCAGTGTTTAGCAGAAAGTAGGTCAAAATGTCAATCACTTATATCAGTTAACATAATTTAACAGTTGTGCAAACTTTTTGTCGATATAAATGCTGTGTAGTGTCATTATAACTCACTGCCTCACTCGGTCATGTGCTTAGATGTTACTTAAATCTCCATCCACCTTACCATTACTATAATGTGGTAAGTATTTATTTGTCTCACATGCAGCCCTGATTGCTCAGTGGAGCGCCACTGAGCATGTGTGAGTATAGCGCCAGATCTAACCCACCCAGCTTTGTCTTTTCATGTGACCATCCATCCACACACATTAGGGACCTTATGCAAATTACAACGGCAATGGCAACTGCAACGTTGCAAAACAAAAGGCTTGCTGAGCAGCATAACGAAGCTGCTTGGACATTATGAACCTTTGTACATTTCGTAGCCGTCCAAGTTTTTTGGAGAATGAATGCATGAATGAATGAATTTATGAACTTTATTCAAGTGTCTGAGTATTTAGATTGCAATAGATAACTAATTGTGGACACTCAAATAATAATAAAAAGAAGAAAATAAAATAAAATAAATGAATAGACAGTGAATACAACCTCTACCGCTTGTTTTTCGTAGCTCTATTTGGAACTGAACGCCTTTGTAGCATATTGGGCAGGGTCTAGTTTTCATACCGGCTGACAGACACGCGGATTTAAATAACTGCGAAATTATCTAGTAAAATATAAGTTCTTTTTTTAACAGACGTCGTCTTCGCTGTAGAAAATTTAATTCACACAAAAAAATAACTACAGTATACCTTCGATAGGTCTGCCATAAAAATTGATTGAAGAGCATTGTTTCCTTGTGCCCATGTTACAGCTTAACATTTCCTCTGCTATGTTGAGTCTTTTTTTTCTGAAACTCTCCACGAGAATCTTCCTGTTGAACAGGCCAAGCAACTACTACGATCGACGATGAAAACCCCGTTTGTGTAAGAAAACAAGAGTCTCTCGGCTGGACCGGAAAAATATTTTTCTGGCCAATCAGCAGGGTAGAATTCGAACACTTCTGGAACCGGTTCGGTTAGCCTGCAGACAGGCTCCCGGAGAGCCCAGACAAAGCCCCGATCGCTTTGCTCATTATTCTGTTTCAGCCTTGCCGAATTTATTTATACATGCTCACCAGGAGCCTGTTCACAGGCTATGGTTGGGTAAGATTAAGTGCCCAGGGGATCTCCCGCTCTTGAAGTAAACTTTCACCTGAAAATATTGCATCGTCCCGACTGACAGCCCCTGGATCTCCGAGGATGAATAATTCTGAAATCAAACCCCAAACTGCTACCTACAGATGGTATAGTACATGCACAGCAACAATTGTGATAAATACAAATATTTTTCTTAAGGCTCTTGATAGTAGCAGACAAGTCAAGAATTTTAAGAAAACGGCAAAATGTTTGAGTTTATAAAACATGTTTCGACATAAACTTTTGTCATCCTCAGTTAATCCAAGTACAAAGCGATGGAAGCTGAATTTATAATAAGTAGAAAATGCTAATTGTGATAAATAGTAACAACAGAATGAAGCAAAGTGTGAAAGTGTCAGAATTAGAGAGATAATTTTACATTAACATGGTGTAATTGTTTATTCAAAGAGGGTTGTTCTCTCTGAATATGAATAGTCTCTTTTATCTTAAGTTGAAAACTAGTGGAGGCGTGATCCAAAACATGGAAACAATCTGCTGAACACAAGGCGTGACAGTGTTCAGAATTTTGCCGATATTGTTCTTTTTTACTAGCCAGGCAATTTTTCAGAAGTCTACTCTTAAATTTCAGAACCCTTGTTAATTTACACTAACACCGTAAGTTGAGATGGCCTGACAAAGGCTGGAAATGTTTATTTTTGGGCGCTCGTGAATGCCATTTCTCACATTTTCCAGAGCTGGGATACTCTTCATAAATCGAAACATAATGAAACGTCAAGCAGTTAGTAAACTGTGTATGTCAATTATAGATATAATAGGCTTAATCGGAGAGCTAGTTTATTAAGTGTTTACAAGCAGAGGGTGAGATGTCTCCCCTTCAGGCAAGCAAGTTCTGAAGCCATATGAATGAATGAAAACTTTATTTATAACACAGTAAATATATCAGTACATACTAATAGAAAAACATAGGCACACAAGGCTTGCAAGAGTTATTTTTTGTGTGAATTAAAAGCCCCTGGCGTTAGCAGTACTCAGTGGACTCAACAGTTATGAGAAGGTTAATCCAACAAGTTTGTTTGGTTACAATGTACAGCAAAAAAAATAGAATTTGTTTCATCTTAGGAACTATGATATAAAGTTTACATTACATTTTTCAAGGTTTGGTTTTAAGAGTCGATCAGTGGCTTTGTTTATTAGAACTACATGGAACTGTTCCCGGCAGACAGCTAAACATCATGAAGTCTGTAATAGTAGCTAACGGTAAACAGCGATTGGTGTTGATTCTGGATGACTTTTTGGACTCGTTTTAAAACAAGAACCAATTTAATTATAACATCGTCACGCAATAGCGTGGTCTTCTTCTGCTGCCAGCAATGATCTTCGCTTTTTTTCGGTTTGATATTCCACAAAACCACCTCGAATTAATATCACGTTCAAAACGTCTAGATAGCAGCAGACACGTAAAGATTTTAAGGAAAACGACCAATTTTTTAAGTTTTAAAGACATGTTTCGACAGAACTTCTGTCATCTTCAGTTGAATGAATGATTACAAAGCAAGTTGAATACTAAGTAGACAAAAATGCTAATTAAGACAAATAGTAACAACAGAACGTGAAAAGGTGTAAATTAAAAGGATAATTTTAGATTTACATGGTGTAATTGCTGATTGAGGCAAGTTAGTTCTTTTTGAATATGGATAGCCTCCTTTATCTTGAGTTGAAAGCTGGTAGTGGCGTGATCTAAAATATGAAAGCAGTCTATTGAACACAATGAGC